AATGAAATCATCATTGATTGTTGATTCAACTTTTCTCAAACAAACTCAATCAAGTATGTCCTCTGATCTTCTTATTCATGATATCAAGAATAATTTTTCTAAGTCTTGTGATACTTTTAAGTTTGAGTTAAAAAAAAACCTACTTTATTTTCAAAGATGCCTATATGTGCTAGAAAGAGAAGCACGTTGTCGTACTGTAATTACTTACAGTATGTAAAAATTAGTGAAAACATGTAATATTTTTATAAATCTTAATGTGAGTTAGAATAGTTAATATGTTAATTTAAAATGAATTGAAATAAGAAAAATTATTTGGAAGTTAATCTAGTTTGATTATAGAGTTTATATTATATAGGATTTAGATAGTTAGTATAAAGATTAAGAGAAGGGAGGAGTTAAAAGATGAAAATATAACTAGAAGGAGGCTTATTGTGAAGGATGAAAGTAAGGCATGGTTGGATGAAGGCAAGGGGTGAAGAACTTCATCCCTATTGGTCGAATACCATGCCCAATGGGCTTTGAGGAGGCTGCCTGAGGCCATATTAGGAATTAGGGTTCTTCTTTCGAGGCCATTCGAGCTTTTGAGGCTAAGGTCAGAAGGTTTAGGGTTTTAGATATAATTTGGGTGAAGATTTTGTGTGATTTCGAGTTTTTATGGAAAAGATATGAATGTTCAAAGATAAGGTGTCAATTTCGTACCTATTGTCACTTCTTTTGGGCATCACATACGAATACGGAGAGCAATGGAAGATCGGCGACTGGATTTGGAGGGAGCATTTTCTCGGCTACACATTCTACTTACTATATAGTGAATTCTAAGATTGGATGAAGGAGTTATGAGGCGTTGAAGACAGCACTTATAATTTGAAGGCAGTAAGTATATCGTTTTGTTGCTAGTTATGGGTGAAGCCATATCTTGAGTTTCTGGATGAATTTTTGGCTCAAAATTTCCACAAGTGTGTGTAATTGGGTTAAAAAGCTTTAGATCAAAGTTTCATAGTATTTGAATAATTACTTTGTGAGATATGAAGGAAGTTGTACACGGGTGTAAAAAAGCTAGGGTTTGAAGCTACAGTTAGGGTTTTTAAGATATCACAAGATCCAAGACGAATTTATGGTTGAATTTTGGTGTGGTAGTTGCTAAAGATATATCAGTACTCCATGTAAAATTTGGAGTTATTTAGACGGTTAGATCGTAAGTTATGGGCTGTTGAACTTCGGGAAAAATTCCTCATAAGGATATATAAGTTTTTTATAACACCTTATCAAGTATTTTGGTGTTCTTTGGATTTTAAGGCTTGTATATTGATGTAATTGCTCCAAAGGAGAGGAGTTTATATATATAAAATTGTTACCCTTATATTTCAAACTTGATTGAGTATTTAGTGACAGCCAGAAGCCCAGTGCTTTCTTGAGGCAAACTCTCTCTACCCCGACAACGTTTACGTGTTCTTCAAGCACATCATGACTTTCCAACAATAGGACATTTTAGATACAACAAGACTCAACAGCTAATATCTAGAGATTTTTGGGGGCCACAAATGTAGTAGGGTGTAAAATACTTTGTTCAATCGTGTGACATTTATTGAAGGTCAAAAACTCCTTTGCATTGACTTTATGGACTTCTTCAACCATTACCTATACGAGAACAACTATGGTCTTTTATTTCTATGGATTTTATCATGGATCTTCTAGTCTCAAGATTGTGGGATTCTATATTTGTGATAGTAGATCGTTTTACTAAAATGACACATTTTATACGATGCACAAAATTGATCACAGGTGAAGAAACTCCCAAGCTTTTCCTTGACAATATCTATTGATATCATGGATTGTCAAAAGATATTATATTAGATAAGAAGATTCAATTTGTATGAAGATTTTGGAGAACTCTTTTTAAGATTTTAAAGGTAGACATAATACTTTCTTTAGCCTTTCATCCTCAAATTGATAGACAAATAAAGTGCGTAAATTAAATTTTGGCACAATACTTAAGGTATACCATCAATTATTAACAAGACAATTGGAGAACCCTCTTTCCATTGGTAGAATTTGCTTATAATAATACGATGCATTCTTCTACGCAATAAATATATTTTTTTTTTTATCAATTATGGTTATTATTCATAACTTGATGCTTTTGACTTTTTAAAAGTTGATAATCTTGTGAAAGAAGGTTTGGAAAATTATTTGTTAGAGCTATATGTAACAATGAAGGTGCAATTAAAGAAAGCTCGAGAATGACAAAAGATCAATGCAAATGCTTATCAAAAGGAACAACTACAATTCAATGTAAGTGAGAAGGTATAGTTGCTTTGTTGTAATATCAAGACTACTTATCCTTGTGATAAGTGGGACTATTACAGGGTTCGACCTTTTCATATTTGTAGACAAATCAATGTAGTTGCTTATTGATTACATCTACCAAAGGCAATGAAGATCCATCCTGTCTTCCACAAATCTCTTCTTAAACCAAAAAGAGTATGAGTATACCAAGAAGAAGACAAGTTCTACCTCCTTCTGTAGAAGTGGACAATAATAAAGAATTTGAAGTGGAAGAAGTTCTAGACTCAAGGTGGCGCAAAAATAAATTGGAATATCTTGTCCATTGGCATAGATATGATATTTGTGAATGCACATAGAAGTCAGTAAAGAATCTTGCAAATGCAGTAAAGGTGGTGGAGACTTTTCATCGATGACATCCATATAAATCAAGATGAAGAAGAGTAAGTCTTTGATATAAAAGAAACAAGGTCTAGAAAAAATTACATTCTTCTTTCTATCTTTCTTTGTAGCTTCTTTGTATTTGTGATGCTAAAGAGATAGAAAATCAACAACTAGCAGATTCAACTTAAGAGCTTTCATTTATGGACTTATCAGATGAGACATTGTGATTATCACAACCTTCAAGACGATAAAATTGAGATAAAGATCCTCAAGAATAACATGTCCTTCCTCGAATAGATGATAAGTTACAATGAATTTCATATCATGACCTTGAAAGAAACTCCCAATATTTGGTAATTTTATTAGAGGTAAGAACAACTCTTAACGGTGTTTCAAATGTTTTATTTGAAAGAAGTTACACAGGCCTCAACAATGACCGAATAACAGGGTAGTCTTCTCGCCTAATATGAGATACTATCGATGGTTGAGAGGATCTATCAACTATCTTTCAAGAGAATAAAGATTAGAATATGTGGCAAATATAATCTGCCATAACTTACATTTCTTCAACTTATGAAGACCACTCCTTATGGAAGTCGTCCTTAGAAGGGATGATAATATCACGGATATACACATGTAAAGCAATAATTACCTATATGATTTAGGTAAAAGTAGGTTAATTCCATAATATCTTCTATAGTAGCTTTCTAGAAGTTTCATAGACGCTGTTTTGACTTTATACGTGTCTTTAATTGACTTTTTAGATTAGAAACGTGGTCAACAAGTTGGCCATGTGCCACATATGTTGGTAGCTTGAAGAACAAGCTAATTATATAGCCGACACATAGAAAACTTGCCTTGTAAGCTAAGGCATGTATCTTGCAAAGTTAAGATATATTAGAGGTCCTATAGAATATTGTCACATAGATTCTAGTTAGATAGTATATATAGAGGTAAGAGTAAAGCCGTCTTCACTTTTGTCAATTCCTTTCTTGCTACTAGTTTAGATTTAAGAGCCTCTAATTTCTTTGTCTTTTGGCAATAGCTATTCCAATTTTTTTATAATATACATACTACATTATTGCTATTTTGTCACTTTTCTTTTAACATAGATTTTTCAAGTTTATGCATCATCTTCTACTTCATATCATTGATACCACATATGACTAAAGCTTTTGGATTCCACTCAATTCTTAAAATAAATCCCAATTAATGTTGAAGAAATAAAATATAATATAATTAATTGATTTCCATCTTAAAATTAAAAGGGATATTTTTAATGATTCATATAACAAATAAAGACATGAAGTCTTAATTTCTTGAATTCCATTTTAAAAGAAAATTACATGACATTAGAAAATTAAAAAAGACTTTGCAATAACAATTGAGACTTATTTAAAGATGGTTCTTTTATACATAATATATATTTTTAATTTTTTTATTGTAAAAATATATCATATAATCTGACATTCTTTAGAAAAGTGATTTTATAATTACAATTAATATTATTTCAAAAATTTGATGATTTTTCAATATCACCAATTCATTATAAAGTACATACACTTAAAATTATTTTAGAACCAACATGTACATTTTATTGGCAATAATCCAATACAATATAATTTTTAAAATTTTAATTTTATTGCATTTATCTCAGTTTATTAAAAATAACATTTCTTTAATCTACAAGGTAATATTAATGTTTTAAAAATTAAAATTAGAAATAACTTATATTTGGTTGATGTGTTTATAAGATTGAATCACCAAAAAATATTTAAGCTAATTATTTAAAAATAACATACATGCACTAACAAAAAAAATTATGCTTTATACTTTGACAATAAATTTATTGAAAGTTTTACTTAAATTGTGATACAATTCTCACATATAATTAAGGTCAAAAAATACAACCAATTTGCAACCATTTCCAATTGAATTAGTTGCATTATTAATATCCACATTGTCAATGCACTATGTAAAAATAAGAATTAGGAGTAGGGAACCACAAATAGAAAAAAATGCATATTGTCAATGCATCATGTAAAAGTAAGAATTAGGATTAAAGAACCACAATTAGACAAAAACCCATATTATCAATGCACCATGTAAAACTAAGAATTAGGGTTAAATAACCACAATTAGACAAAAACCAAGTTGATAACAAGAACAACTCGAAGCCCCTTCCTTCATAAATTGTTGAGAAACCAAGGGGGCCCCGTGAGGGGAACACTCTTATCCACAAAGCTCCTACGTTCCCAAATGCACCAGAGGGTGGAGCGCATAGGGGAGCGAAAGGTGGAACGGGGTTCCCCATCCCAGAAGAGCGCAAGAGCACAAGTTTCACAATATCCTATCCGCAGCGCTGCCTCTCTCGCTTCTTCCCTGAAGGCTTGGTTTGCGGGGATCGCTTTCCATTTCTCTCGTTGTAGCTCGAATTGCAGCTGGACTCGATTCAGATTCGCCTCTGAATTTCTGCTACGCAGCTGCGTCTCGTCGATAGCTCTCCAATGGCGGCAGCGGCGTCGATTTCCGCTGTGAGTGCGAGCTTCACTGCCCTGTCATTGCAGAAGACCCCAACAACCTCATTCAATGCGTCGTCTCCGAAGGTGGCCTCCTCCGTCGCGTTGCCTGCTTTCCATGGATTGAAGGCGAGCAATCTGTACAGCGCCGCCCCCTCGGACCTTCACTCCCGGGTCGTGTCCCAGTGCGCCGTGGCCGCGACGTCTTCCTCCCGAGGTGTTGTATCCATGAGCAGTGTGGAAGCCGGCGTGGGCTTGATGGGTACCAAGATGGGGATGATGACCTACTTCACCGAAGACGGTATTGCTGTGCCGTGCACCGTTGTGGGTTTTCATGAAGGGAACATTGTCACCCAGGTGAAGACGGATGCCACTGATGGGTACACGGCTGTGCAAGTAGGGTACCGGAGGGTGAGGGACCGGAAGTTGACGAAGCCCCAGCTCGGGCATCTTAACAAGGTGGGCGCCATTCCCATGCGCCACTTGCAGGAGTTTAGGGTGGTGTCCGCTGAGGGGTTCGAGCCCAACCAACGGCTGCAACTGGAGGAAATGTTCAAGGCAGGTGACTTGATTGACGTTGTGGGCGACAGCATTGGAAAGGGTTTCCAAGGTCAGTGCACCGCGACTTGACTCATTCATTCGATAAATTCAATTTCTGGCGTCCTTTTGTCTTGGGGACATATTCAAGAGTTTATAGTGAATTCTTGAATTATGCTGCGGTTGGGGCACAGGGCTTGATATGAGAGTAGAAAGTTCTTCCTTCGTCTGCTGGCGTTGGTAATCATCTCTGTCATACTTTTGTTCTACCTCTTTCTTCTACGTGTGATGCTTTTGGTTCAATTCCAAATCCAATCTCGAATTCGACCTTCGTAGTTTGATGCAGTGGATATTTACATAGTGTGGCTTGCAACCTCTTCGGAACTCAGAAGAGTTGCTTGTAAGTCGAATTGAGGGCTCAACGCCAAAGTGATAAACCCTTTCTCGGAAACCTCGGTGATTGAGCCTATTCTTGAAAAAACTTTTCCTGCATTTTGTAGTGAACTTGAGGTTTTGCATTGCGCAGGTGGTATTAAGAGGTATAACTTCGCCAGAGGTCAGATGACTCACGGTTCCAAGTCAAAGAGGCAGCTCGGTTCCATTGGAGCTGGAACTACGCCCGGACGTGTTTATCCAGGAAAGAAGATGCCTGGACAAATGGGAAGCGGAAGGACAAAGGTCCGGAAGCTGGAAATCGTCAAGGTTGATCCTGAGCTTCGTGCTGTGCTCATCAAGGGTTCCGTTCCTGGGAAACCTGGAAACCTTCTCAGGATTACACCAGCAAAGATAATTGGTAAGAACATTCCTAAGAATTAGGTCTCGTCGCAAGGTACACTCACACTGTAGGTTATTTGTTGGTTTTTATTTTTTTGTGCTCAGCCTGTTGGATGATAGCCTTAGGATTTTCCAGCATCTCACAGTTAGTTAAAATCCGTCTGAGTCAACATCCCTCTCGAAACCGTGAATGCACGGAGAAGATTGGAGGGTAATACCATCGTTTTTGGCAACGGCCTGCTGTAATTCTCCTGCAGGGTTTACTTTTGAAGGAAATTTTCATGAGAATGTCTTGTGCTTTCACGCCCACACTCCAGATTCTAGATCAGTGTTACTTCAATTCAATGCCTGTTCAGTGGACTGGACAATACCTCCTCTTCAGGAAGTATATAAAATATGTGATGATAACCCCAGAGAATGTGTATCCAACTCTCTGAACTATGTCTTGTGGGTGAGGAGATAGAGTAGCCTCAACCTCATTTTCAATCACATTATCTTGCTTCTTTAGCGGCAATGCACGGTACTGATAAATTTCAAGCGATCGTCTGTGCTTCGACAGAACTCTCAACTATGAGATGGCAGTTATGTCGGCCTCTTTCACTCATCTTCACAACTTGGGTTCCTCCCATTATGAGTAATGTAAGCTGCATTACAATGTGTAAATTCGGTGCCGAAATCTTGCGGTTGGTGCTCTAATAGCCCAAGGTTGAGCCTTGAGCAAATACTTGACAATGGTTGCTTACTTTAGTTTGGAGTTTTATAATTGTGTGCAGAAGAACTTCATTTCGCAATATCTTGAACGATCTTGAAACATGTACTGCACATCAGGTCTGAATTAACAGACTTTTTCTAACAAACCAGATAGTTCTGGAGTTGTACCATGAGTGTCACTGTAACTGCAATGCATTTACACATCTCATGAAAGGATGTAAAGCAGTGCCCTTGTTAATAATCGTATATGGATAGGTTCATACAAAAAAAGTTCAAATCGTAATTGGGTTCTATTTAAAAAGATATAAGTTGTGTTAATCAGAGATAAGTACAGCTACTCATGACTAGTACAAATTTATTGTAGCTTTTGAACATCCTAGGGAATTTGGACAGATAAAAACAGTTCATCATGTGTTATTCTAAGGTTCGAAAATCACTTCATCAATAATTTTTAGTAATCTGTTTGATGAATGGGAAATCATGTATGTTAAAACGATTTAGTTTCCAAACGTTTTCTTATAAAAATGTAAAATTTATGTTAGGAATTTACAATGTTGAAATTATATGATATCCTGAATTGTAAATTGTTTTAATTCACTGGTATTTTACAACCGAAAATACTTAATGATAGAATCATTGTTCTTTACTTTACAGTGAAGAAAAAGATAAGATAAAAAAACTGATTCTTTGTAGGTGTTAAACTCCTTTATTGCAATATACAATAGCAATATTTAATAAAAAAGTTATTGATTAATTTAGCTTCTTCACATTACAATTAATACTAATTTAAAACCTATATGAAAAAATGAAATTTCTTAAGACTTTGTATGTATGTATAATAATTTTAAGACTTATTATCTAAGTAATATTTATACATACATACAAAGTAATTTGCAAGACACATGTTTACTTAGAAAAGACACATGTTTATTTAGATAAGAAGTATGAAAAAAATATTTACTTAAATAAGAAGTATTAGGTAGAAATTAAATATAGATAGATTTCATATTATTCTATGGCAAAGCTTCTTAAAAGCTTTATAGATGTGTATTTGATTTTATACATATTTATAATTGATTGATATGTTAAAAATTTGGCCAAAAAGTTAGTTGTGTTTCACAAATATAGATAGCTTATGGTATAGGCTAATAATATGGTATGCATATAAGAAACTTACCTTGCAAGTTAAAACATGTGTCTTGCAAATTAGCACATGGCAGAGATCTTATAGAATGTTGTCACATAGCCCTTTGTTAGATAGTATTTTTGAAGAAAAAAGTGATTTTTTTTCACTCTTATCAACACGTTTTTAGTCTTTAGTCTTGTTTTAAGACTTTCTAGTCTTCTTGTCTTTGACAATAGTATTATAGTTTAATATTATATCATCTTTAAAATATTTTTTAATTTTTTGAATAATATAATAATATATTGATTTTTTGATCCTTTAAGATTTAAGTTCTTAACAATTTGATAAGAATATTAACTCATTGTTCTTGTTTTGTTTCTAAAAGTGAGTAGGTTATTCTACCTCTATTATTGTATTTTGAAGGTTGCAAATTATCTACCTTTATACTAATATTTAATTTTCTAATATTAATTTATTTCTTTTAAAAAAAAGGTACTATCTTTTTTTGTAGAAATTTTCATTTGATATTGGAGGATTATAGATTTTCCTCTAATTTGACTTAAGGATTTGTTTGACTTTTCTATGGAAAGAAAAATTACGGATATAACTTTCAATGGAAGTGGGAATAGATTTGTAACAATTATAGATTTTCATGAGTTTTTTAATATTCTTAAGATAGAAATTTCATGTATTTCTAATGTAAATCATGGAGGTACTATTTCTACGTCCATAGAAGAAGTTAAGAATAAAATTTAAAGACTACACCAAAAAGTTGTGCAATTGAGAGAAGCAAGTAAATTATGTTCAAAATCAAATCTAAGAAGTTTTATTACTACAAGTATGAAAGAAATAAGGATAAGTATGATAGAAAAGTTTGATAAAACAAGATCAAAATTTTGAAGGTTTGTAAAATAAGTGAAGTTCTATCTAAGATTGCATCCTTTCCAATATCTTAATGGATTTACTCAAATTAGATTCATATGTGCACTTCTATCATAAAGTGTTCTTTCTTGATTTACTCCTTTGATGAAAAAAGATTCACAACTATTCTATGATTTGAATTCATTTTTAAAAGTATTTACGACCATATTTAAAGAAAATAATCAAGAAAGGATAGCAAAGATAAAAATTCATATCTTTACAATAAGAATCACATTTAGCCACCATATATGTTACTAAATTCCAAAACCTTGCCAACGACATAGATAGAATGATAAGGCTATTATCAATAAATTTTAATATGCATTGAAAGATATTATCAAATATTTATGGTTAATAATGCCAAGAATAAACTTATTCAAGTATTTTATTATTTAAGCTATTACATATGATAATTAATTTTTTAAAAGTTGCTAAAAATAAAAGTTTGGTTGGATAAATTCAAGTCAAGTCATAATAACACCTTTTAAGTTTTTGGAGGCTTATTTATTAAGGCCAAAGCCTTTGCAAATTGATATGATATGTTTTAAATCTCTTACTGAGTAAAAAATAAAATAAAAAAATAAAAAAATAAAAATCAACACCCTCATAAAGATTTGTGCTTATATTATGGAGAATCAAAGTATATTGCTTAATATTATCTAAAGAAACAATATAATTATAAAATGAAGAAGATAATTACTAAAGAGGATAATGTATCAAAAAATAAGTTTTTTCAACTACAATAGGATTATATAACTGGAATTTTGTGCAACATTTAGTAAAGGTCCTATTCTCATCTAAGATCTCTCACCTTATTTTACAATAGAAGTTTATTTAGGACTAAAAAATCAAAAAAACTTTGCGTTATTAGATTGAAGAGCCTCAATCTCTTTTATAAAGAAAGATTTTGTCCAAAAATAAGAAATATCTTTAATCAAAAAAATCATTTCAATGTATGTAGAAATCATAGATGATTGTTTATTATCCTTTAGAGATGTTATCCATAAAACAATTCCTTTAAATATTGATAAGAACTAGGTTAAAATTTTCATACACCATTCTAAATCTCCAACAAGAACTCTTATCTTATTTGTGAAGAAAAAAGATGAATCTTTGTAGATGTGTGTAGAATTTTAAGGATTTAATAAAATCACATCAAAAATAGATATCTTTTATCTATGATTTTAAGACTTCTTGATTAGCTCAATCAAATAAAAATCTATACAAAAATAGATCTATAAGAAGCATTTAACTTGGTACATATTATAAAAAGAGTTGAATGCAAAATTATATTTTGAACTAGATTTAAACATTTTAAATGTAATGTCATGCTTTTTAGACTCAGAAATGCACCAACTACTTTTCAACATCTAATGAATGATGTCACTTGTGAGTTTCTTGATGATTTTATTATATGTTATGTTGACAATATTGTAATCTATTCTAAGAATATAGAAGAGCATAAATTTCGTATTTTTCATATATTACAAAAATTAAAAGATACAAGATTATATATCAAGATGAAATAGTGTATTTTTCACACCACTTAAATTGATTTTTTAATATATATCATTTCAAATAATATTAATATAATGGATCTTAAGAAGGTCAAGACTATCATGGATTAGAAAATCTTAAAAATAATTAAAGATGTACAATATTTTTGAAATTTCTCAATTATTATCAATTTTTCATCAAAAATATTTGTTGAATTGTGATTCTTTTTACACTTTTGACATGTAAAAACAAACTTGAGTGGAATAAAGAAGCTAAAGCAACTTTTGAAGCTTATAAGACATCATTAATTTTGAAGCTAATTTTATATTTTTTTTGGATATTTCAAGACATTCATTAAGGAAAAAAATGTATATAACTTTGCTATAGATATGGTGTTGTTACAAATAAAAGCAAATGACAAACTACACTTGATAGTTTTTTATTTTAAAAATTTTCAACAACCAAGATCAACTACAAGATCTATAATAAAGAGTTTTTAGTAATCATGGATTCATTTTAAGAATAATGCCATTGTCCAAAATGCTCTTCTAATTTAGTTATGATAAATATAAATTATAAGAACCTTAAGTATTTTATGGCACCATATATTTTAGATTGTTGCTAAGCACATTGAAACATGTCTTTATGAAGATTTGATTACATAATCAATTATCAATCCAAAAAACAACAAGGTTTGTCAAATGTCCTTTCTAGATATTTTTATTTTGTATCTAAATAAGAAAATATATATTTTAATTAATAAAAAATAATTCACTTCAAATTAGAGTATTTTCATCTTTAAGCATTAAAATTAATATTGACTATTTATTCAATCTTTTTCAAGCAAGTTCAATCAAGTATGTCCTTTAATCTTCTTCTTCAAGATATTAAAAATATTTCTTTTTAGTTTCATGATATTTCTAATTTCAATTTCAAGAATGATCTACTCTATTTCAAGAAAAAATTATATATTCTAAAAGACAAACTACAATTACGTTGTCATATTATATGTATTTTTACTTAAAAATGTAATTGAAAATCTAGCTATGGAATGTA